AAATGGTGCTCACTGAAAAAAAAAAAACCCTCTACTATCAAAAAAACCCCATCAGCGGCCACAGGGCAAGATCTGGGTGGAGATGACAGCTTGAGAGTTAAATCCTGCAGGTAAAAGAGCTTCCTATTTGCAGCAAGAGCTGAATATTCATGCACTGGAATGCTTCACTTCAAGTTACATAAATAGGATTATTTTTCTGGCATCCAAACTGCGAGGAGTCATTGTCTTGGCATAAGAGCACCACTGCTTCCTCCGTGCCAAAAAGCTGCTGGCCATCGCATGAACTCCGGCAGACTCTCACTTCCCGACCTTGACTCTTCGCTCTGTCGCTGTTTACCGAGATAAGGGGGGACCCAGGTATGAAAATTATTTGGCCTCTTTCCAGGGCGTGTTGCTGCAGGAATGGGCTACGCCGGCTCGCAGAGCTCAGCGGGCTGCTGGAGCGCGGGGAAGGCAGGGGCTGGCTGGTTTGGCAGGCAGATCTCACCAGCTCAGGACCGGAGGATCTCCCCGTCACGGTCTTGGCACGGTCTTAGCAAAGCCATAAGCAAACCTCCCTGCGGCTGCTGGTTCCCCTAATCCAGCCGGAGAGGCATGAGGTGGCCACGTACATTCAGCCTCTCCTTACAACGCCGCGGTCTCCATCTTTCCCCTGGGTACTAATTTTGGCCAACGGCAATTTGCCTCGGGGTCCTGAGCCTGACACATCTAACCTGCAATACCCGGTGCACCCCACTGAGAGCCTGCAGCTTCGCAGCCTGGTTCTGGCTGGATTAATGGTGTACGTGGAGTGATTTCGAAATACGTATCTCTTCTTTGCGCTTGCGTCCCAATCAAAGGTAAAGGAGAAGCCCTCAAGCCAAAATCTCTTTGATGAGCAACTTCCAAATGCGGCCGCACCCAAAATATTGCACTTAGCTCTGGGCAACATGTTTTGGGAGAGATTTTGCCATGTTTTAAACACAGCTTAGAATATATCACTAATAATAAGAATTACAATAATAATAATAATAAACAGAGCCAGAGGTTAGAGGAAATGATTTATCACAAAAAGAATTGCACAGGCTGGATCAGGACAGCAGGCTGGGGTAAACCCGCCTGCTGACAGCAATGAGCACAAGCTTCAAGCAGGGAAAAAAGAGTTATGTACTCAGAAAAAGAGATGGAGAACAGCCTATTTCCACGAATGACAATGAAGGCTGTCAGAGCTGTGGCTGCAGGATAACCCGCGGAGGGAAGAGAGGGCTGTTCCCCCTTTTCTGCAAGGTTTAAAATGACTCAAAAGCAGACAAGCTGCTGGGGAGGAGGAAATGAGAGAGCTGGCTCCGGGACAGGGGACTCGCTGTGCCCCGTCCAGCCCTCCCCAAATTGTTTCCCTCCTGTAATCCCTAAGGAACCGCTCCAGGGTTTTGCAGGCACCGGGTCCTCCGCCAAGCCCTGGGGGTTATCGCACAGCCATGGGCAGGAAAAAGCAGGGAGCTCACAGCATCTCTCTGCTTGTAAATGGGAAGATGACACTCAGCAGGGAAAGGCTCCAGCCCGTCTTTCTTGGCAGGAGCTTACCAAGACATTGACTCCGCGACCACGCTCTCCGGTAGGGATGGAGTTGGGTTATCCACGCCAAAACAAGGGAGGAAATTCAGATGACGCCTTCGCCTCTCATCCAAAAGGGAAGAGCCAAAACCCTGGCCTGAAATGCCACCGCATCTCAAAGCTTAGACCTATTTATAGCAGTGAACTTTAAATACAGGCAAAACATTGGGCAAAAAGGTTATCTCAGCCACCTGAGGTCCTCCACGGGGAACTGCAGGTGAATTCACATGGAGCCAGTTTCTCTTGGCCCATCTGACTTTACACCAATACCCTACACACATACAGAGAGCACCCAACACCCAAATCAGGTTAACAGAGGAACAGCCCTAGGAGACAAGACTGAAGCAAGACCAGGTTCATC